GTTTTTCATCCAGCAGGGAGTGGATGATGCTATCTTTCCACGCATCTCAGCAGCAACAAAGTCAAAAGATGCATGGGACGCTTTGCAGAGAGGATACCAAGGCAATGCCAAGGTGCTTACGGTGAAGTTACAGACAGTTCGTAGAAGGTATGAAGGTATGGTCATGAAAGAAGGTGAGAACTTATCTGATTTCTTTACCCAGATGACAGAAATTGTCAATCAAATGAGAAAATATGGTGATGATGTGCCCGAGCAAAAGGTGGTTGAAAAAATTCTTAGGAGCTTGCCTAAGAAATATGACCATATTGTGGCTGCCATAGAAGAGTCAAAGGATTTATCTGTGTTAACAACAGATGAGCTGCTCGGTTCTCTTTTTTCTCATGAAGACAGGATGAAGAGGTACGAGGATCCTGTGGAGAATGCTTTCTACAACAAGCTACAGCTGCCCAAAAACAAATATGGAGGGAGCTCTTCAGAGTTTAGTAACAGAGGTGGATTCAATAGAGGACAATGTGCAATCCGAGGTGGAAGAAGAGGTCGTGGAGGTCGGTTTGGCAGCATTAGGCATCAACAGAGAGCCAATGAAAGAAGTGACTACCAGAGTTCAATTCAGTGCTTTGTTTGTAAGAGGTATGGCCATATTGCTAAAGATTGTAGAATTAAAGATAAGCAAGCCAATTTTGCACAAGAAAAGGATGATGAAACTGAAAGCTTATTTCTTGCTTGCTACACTGCTAAAGAAAGTGTTCCAGATGTTTGGTATGTGGACAGTGGCTGCAGCAATCACATGACAGGAAACATTAATCTCTTCATCAACCTGGACAAGTCAATGAGCAAAACGATAACCATGGGTGATGGTACCATACGAGAAGCACAAGGAAAAGGCATGGTTAAATTGGATGAACATGGCAAGAATTGTATAGATGATGTCCTGTTCGTACCTCATTTGGATTCTAATTTGCTAAGTGTGGGTCAGTTTATGATGGATGGATATTCACTTGTTTTTGAAAATATGGCTTGCTATGTTTACAAAGATGGAACTAAAAAGGAGCTTTTAATTAAAGTTCCAATGGCAAAAAACAAGTGTTTTCCTTTAACTCTTGACTGTGAGTCTGCATTGAATGTCACTTTGCATGATGAAAATTGGTTGTGGCATCATAGATACGGGCATTTGAATTTCCAGGGGTTGGTACATTTGTCAAAACAGAATTTAGTGCTTGGTTTGCCTATCATTGAACAAGTTGATGGTGTGTGTGAAAGCTGTGTCTATGGCAAACAGCATCGAGATGCTTTTCCCAAAGGAAAGGCGAGAAGAGCTTTGAAACCTGCTGAGTTGATACATGCAGATGTTTGTGGGTCAATGAATACCTTGTCTCTCAACAAAAGCATGTATTTTATTGTCTTTGTTGATGATTTTAGTAGACTGACATGGGTTTACTTTGCCAAAGAAAAGTCAGATGCCTTCCCAATCTTTAAAAAATTCAAAGCTCTTGTTGAAAAGCAAAGTGGATGTTCAATCAAAGTTTTGCGGACAGATCAAGGTGGGGAATTTGTTTCAGCTGAATTTAATAAATTTTGTGAAGATTTCGGCATCAAAAGGCAGTTGACAGCAAGTTATACCCCTCAACAAAATGGGGTAGCCGAAAGGAAAAATAGAAGCCTTGTGGAGATGGCAAAAAGCATGCTGAAAGCAAAAGGTCTTCCAAACAGTTTCTGGGCAGAAGCAATTCACACCGCAGCTTATATTCAGAATCGCAGTCCCACAGCAGCTCTGCATCATCAAACTCCTTTCGAAGCTTGGCATGGCTGGAAGCCCAAGGTAGCTCACTTTAAAATTTTCGGGTGTCTAGCTTATGTCCATGTTCCATCTCAAAAAAGGACAAAATTTGAAGAAAATAGTGTGAAGTGCATTTTTCTTGGTTATAGTGATGAAACTAAAGGTTACAGATTTTATAATCCTATTACCAAGAAGTTACTAATCAGTCGTGATGTGATTTTTGATGAGAAAAATTCATGGAATTGGAATGAGAAGAAAAGTCTAGGTTCTGTGTTGGTTGATGGCATTTTGGAGGCTGATCCAGTGATGACAGAAGGTGAAATGAGTGAAGGTCAAAGTTCCTCTACACCTAATAGTGGCAGCAGATCATGTCCATCCTCACCTGAGACACCTCCAGCGCCAAGGAAAGCAAGGAGAGTAAGATCCTTGGTGGAAATCTATGAACAAACGCAAAGGTGTCAAATGGCACATGTGGAGGAGCCTAGCTGTTTTGAGGAAGCAACGCAGAACAGAAAATGGTGCAAATCTATGGATGAGCAAATGAAGGCCTTGGAAAGAAATCAAACATGGGAGCTTGTGGACTTGCCTAAAGACAACAAAGTTGTAAGTCTGAAGTGGGTATACAAGACCAAGTACAATTCTGATGGGTCAGTTCATAAACACAAGGCTCGATTGGTTGCTAGAGGTTACATGCAGCAAGAAGGTGTGGATTTTGATGAAACTTTTGCACCGGTTGCCAGGTTTGATACTATTTGAACTGTTTTAGCTTTAGCTGCTCAACATAAGTGGTCTGTTTTTCAGTTTGATGTGAAGTCAGCTTTCTTGAATGGATTCTTGGAGGAAAATGTGTATGTACAGCAGCCTCAGGGTTATGAAATTGAAAGACAGGAGCAGAAAGTGTACAAGTTGAAGAAAGCACTTTATGGTCTGAAGCAAGCACCAAGAGCTTGGTATGAAAGAATTAATGCTCATTTTTGCAGCCATGGATTTCATAAAAGTCCAAGTGAGCCTACTTTGTATGTTCAGACCAGAGGTGGAGATGAGGTACTGTTAGTGTGTCTTTATGTTGATGATTTAATATACACTAGCAATAGCTCTTTTTTGTTGAAAGAATTTAGAAGAATGATGGTTAATGAGTTTGACATGACTGATCTGGGTTTAATGAGATATTTTTTGGGCTGGAGGTGGTTCAAAATGGTGAGGGAATTTTTATTTCCCAAGAGAAATATGCTAAAGATCTCTTTAAGAAGTGCAGAATGGAAGATTGCAACTCAGTGGGAACTCCAATGGTTTCTAATCAAAAGTTCAGTTTGGATGATGGAGAAGAAAAGGTTGATGCTCATGCCTATCGCAACCTTATTGGGAGTCTTCTTTATCTCACGAACAGTAGGCTTGATATTACTTTTGCCACCAGTATGCTGTCTCGTTTTATGCAGAGTCCAAGTAAGACACATTATGGAGCAGTGAGGAGGATTCTAAGATATTTGAAGGGGACAATCTCTTTTGGCATTTTATATGCCAAAAATGAACAATTTAATTTATTTGGGTACTCTGACAGTGATTGGGCAGGTTGTGTTGATGACCGACGTAGTACTTCAGGTTATGCTTTCTTTTTGGGTTCCGGTGCTATTTCTTGGAGTTCAAAGAAGCAAGCCTCTACAGCTTTGTCATCTTCAGAAGTAGAATATATCTCCTTAACAGCAGCAGCGTGTCAAGCCACATGGACAAGAAGAATTCTGAAGGATATGAAGCAAGTATAAGTGCAGCCAACAACAATATTTTGTGACAATCAATCGACCATTGCGATGACAAAAAATCCAGTATTCCATAGTCGAACTCGTCACATTGAGACTCGGCACCATTTCATAAGGGAGTTAGTGGCGAGTGGAGGCTTGGAAGTTGTTCACTGCAACTCAAAGGATCAAGTCGCTGACATTTTTACGAAGCCACTTCCTTTGGATAAGTTTATCCATTTAAGGGATTTGCTTGGAGTTTTAAATTTCAGCATTAAGGGGGAGCATGTTACAATATAATGCTGAAATGGGTTTTTT